TGGAGCTTGCAGTGAGCCCGCGCCACTGCACTCCAGCCTGCGTGACAGAGCAAGACTCCATCTCAAAAAAAAAAAGAAAAAAGAAAAAAGAAAAAGCCTTTTTTCCCCAAAAAAATTAAATCAAATAAGCCCATTATGTAAACTTGAGAAATAACAACTTTCACAGTTTTGTTTACTCATTATCCAAGTCATTTTGTAGCATTCTCTCAGTTTTACTCTCTGCAGTGTAGTATCCACTGATTTCATTCAATTGCTATGTTTTTCCTGAAATTCACTCATTATTTCTTCACAGGAACCAGAAATACCCACCTGGTGCTTTCCTGTCTCTGTGCCTTTACTTTGGGTGTTTTCCCCACCCCATTCCTATTTTTTCTCTCCTCCAAAATCTCTTTTAACCAAACTTCAACCCTTCATTTAAAGCTCACCTCAAATACTGCTGTTACTATGAAAACTTTCCAGGTATCTCATGCCAGAAATAAGTCATTCGACAGTGGACCCTTGCATAGCACAAATCAGTGCTAAGGCGCACATTCTTTTATAATTCAAAGAAGAGGCATTTAGGGTAAAAGAGCAACGTTTAGGAAAGGAATGGTTAGTGGCTTTACACAGGAAGTACATGATTTTGTGCCAAAGTGTGGATCTGATTTCAGTTCCAGTTCTAAGTTATTTGGCATTCATGAATGTTTCTAAAACCTTACTTTCATGATCATGGCTGATGGAGAATACAACCACCAGAGTAGATGTCCACTGGTACAGCAAGAGAACAAATCCACTGAGACACCACAGTATCAGAGCACTCATTGTAGAGAAACAGAGAACATTCCACGTCATTATACAGGTGTAAGGCAGGAGCAAACAGCCCAGGCCAGACGACCCTGCAGCGATCAAGAACGACGTGGACAGCAAAGAACTGTAACACCAAAAAGAAACCCTGCTGTGAAAATGCCAGATCGCCATGGTTAAGGGAGACCAGCAGTTCCTTAAGAGGAGGAATAGGACGCTGACATGAATTCTACAGTATATCCCTTTTACATCATCATGTATTTCCTATAAGAGTAAAGATTCGTCAATTAACAAATCTGTATCATTTTCACGAAATGCCAAACTGATGAAACTTTTTAGTTACTGTTCTATATAGATCCCTGCTTCTACCTCTAAATCTCAGTAAATTATGAATGATAATAATACCTACCTTATAAATTATCAGGAGGCTCCCACAGAATCCTGCCAAACCCTTACTATCTTCATTATAATTGCTGAAGCTATCCCTTCACCCTCCTTACTGGTGAGAGGCAGGAGAAGAGCACAGACTCTGGAGCTGGACTGCCTGGGTTCAAATCCAATTCCACCACTTACTAATTGTGGGACCTTGGTCAATTCACTTAATCACGCTGTGCCTCAGTTTCCTCTTCTATATAATGTCGATAAAAATAGCACCTATCTCCAGGCTGCTGTGAGCGCTAAATGAACTAGTGTCTGGCCCAAGGGCAATGCTACACACTCCAGAATGCTACATTAAGTGGTAAATTTTTATCATTGTTAGCACAATGGTGCACACCTCAGAAGTGTTGCTGAATGACTAAATAAGTGAAAACACGAAAGGAGGATGTTACACTAGAGAAGACAAGATGGAGGCAAATTTCAGCCTGAGAACATTCCTGTTAAGCATCATTTCCTTTCATGTAGATGAGGATATGGACATCCTGTTCCATGTCAACTCTAAAAATCAGTTATCACTGTGGGAAAATAACTTCATAATAGTTAATAGCTTTTGATGTTGCATTACACGAAAAATGTTTTCTCCGTTCAAATGTTCTAGAAGCACAGCAACTCATTTTTAAAAGGGGTTAGCCAGGCAGGGTGGCACGTACCTATAGTTCCAGCTACTTGGGAAGCTGACATGGGAGGAGTGCTTGAGCCCAGGAGTTCTGGATACAGTGTGCTATGCCAATCAGGTGTCCACACTAAGTTCCCCATCAATATGGTGACCTCCTAGGAGTTGGAGATCACCAGGTTGCCTAAGGTGGGAGGAACCAGCCCAGGTTGGAAATGGCACAGGTTGAAACTCCCATGCTGATCAGTAGTAGGATCATGTCTGTGAATAGCCACTGTACTCCAGCCTGGGCAATACAGCAAGATCCTGTCTCTTAAAATAAATATTACTAAATTCAATTAAAAGGGGCTAAAATTCCGGGGTTGAAAGAAAACCTATTAGCTGCCTATTCATAAGACAGGAGACAGGACTCCTAACATGCTGCCCAAAGCAGAGTCACCAAATAGACCAAGCGCCAGCCTTCCTGAATGTTCCTTTACGTTATTTTAATCTACCGGAAGCTGGTCACTTGGAAAGAAACTTACATGGGAGAATCACAAGAGATAAACTTGCTTTAGTTAAGGTATCCAGCTTAGCTAAAAATCGTATTAAAGTCTTAATGCACGACAGAGAGAGATCAGGCTAAAGTGATAAGCTTTTGGGTCTGTCTACTAACCTGTCTTGTCCACAAGGCAGGGGTCCTTCAAGTCTTTCACCCCAAACAGCATTCTAATGTAAAAGCCAGCAGCAGATTGTGAGGTCAGCTCTCTACTAGCCTACACTCAGGGTTCTGTACAATGCCAACTTCAAGTTGTAACACCCAGATTAGTAAAAACATCCCCAGAGAATAGGATGTTTTGGATAGTCATGTCATGAACATTGTTGAGATAATGTTTACTCCTATTTAACCACCAAAACTTTTATAAAAGCTATGAGACAGAACTCGTTCTTAAGAATACATTACAACTCTTCTTCAATAGTATCCTAAATGTAATTGAAACTTTTTTCAAGGTCCAGGGGTTAGTAAAAGAACCTCTCTCCTAAAGTGTGTCTGGCAAGTTATGCCTGGCAAGAAGGGACCAACCCCTGCCTTAACAAGTTAAATCTCAACACAGAGCAGAAACAGATGCAGCATTATCCATTATCTTAACTTGGGTTTTCCCTGGACCTCTGATTCTCTAATGAACACAGCTCCCTCATTCATGATTTCAGGTAAAATCTTGTCAGAGCTGAAAACAGATGAATTCTTGTTGTGCTACAACTCTTTAATACCCAGGTATAATACTATCAGTATTTTTCAAAGTCCTTACTTGGACCATCTATGCCCTTCCAACCAACGGAACATTTACAGACATTGGGCTTTCAGGCTGTTGAACCAAATGCAGTACCAGCAAAGCCGTATCTTCCCCTGGTGTCCCTGCTTCCAGCATAGTGTTCTGGAAAGGCTTCTCTGTCATGCCCATTTGACTCTAATTCAGTGTCATTTTACCTGTGGTCCAGGGACATAATCACAAGCCTAATTCTCTTTCATCTCTCCTAAACTTCATGCTTGCCACTTCTCATCTTCTCTTGGCTGGGAATTAGAGGTTTATTAAAAACATTTGCAGAATGAGAGTTTGAGGGCTCCTCCCACGCATTAAAATACACGCATTTTCTGACAACCATTTTGGCTGCTCATAGGTTCTCAGGTCACACTGCTGGAAGCTGAGTTCAGGATAGGTAAGAGGCTATTGTGGTAAAGGTCCCTCTGCTAGAGGGAACTTTGGAGCGGGGATGGCATTTACTGAGTACTTTACGTGCTCCATTTGCCTTGAATATTGATATACTTTACTCCTTACTTCTTTCAGGTATTTGCTCACCTATGGCCTTATCTGTGACACCTCCCCCAACCACCCTCTATGAAATAACATTCTCCAATCCTATCTTTCACTAGACCTCATTTGTTGCTTTATTTTTAATCATAGCGTTAATCAGCTCTTGGCATACAAAGAATAGTATGTTTGTTTATTTGTCTATTGCCTGTCTCTGAGACATGAATGCTGCATTCATGAGAATGGCAGTTCCACAAAGTAGTTGGCTTATCTGTTTTGCTTAGGTACTCAATAAATATTTGTTGAACCAACACTCCAAGGGTTGTTAAATACATTAAATATCATGCCATTTTAATTTTCCCTACCCTTCAAGTCACATATTCCCAGACTTTTTATAGACAGAGAAACTGAAGTGGGTTACTCAATACTTGGAGAGCATAATGTCATGGTTAAGAGCATGGTTCCTGGAACCAGCCTGGCTAGCCTACAGCGTGGCTCAGCCACTGCCTGTCTCTATGATGTCAGGCAAGTCACTGAACCATTCTGGACATGGAGCTGCTTATCTGTAAATGGCAATAACGATAGCACTGCTTTATCAAAGTTGTGGTGAGGGCCTTCTATCTATAAAGAGCTTAAACAGTTCAGGTCTCATAGTAGGTACTACATAAGAGTTACATAAATAAAAATTAAATCTTAGCTGAGGGCCACCTTATAACAAGCACTAACTTTCTCATTCTGATTTCTTACTCATAGAATGCCTTCCTGATTGTAACCAGGCTTTCCGGTTCATCCATCTACAGAGGAAGTACAGATGTAGCTATTCTGGCCTGTGTTGCACAGTTACATATTTCTTGTCATAAATTAATCAATCAGTGAGTTTTGGTTAATGTGCTAACAAAATCACGGTTCTGAACCAGTAAGACTGAGGCCCAAGCCCAGACAGTGTCACAAAGACACACCTCATGCAGTTGCTTGGTTAGTGACCTCCTAGCCACCTTCTCCAAACAATACCACAAATTTTTATTCAAATATCTACAACACAAGCTGAGTCACTAGGGAGAAGGAAGCACTGCCTGAGAACCCTTTTCTCTAATCAGCAGAGCATGGAGAGAGATGACAGGCAGGAGAGTTTCCAGGGAGAAGCGAATGCTTTGCCAGCCTCACAGCCCTCCCTCCGCTCCCTCCACGACTTCGGAATGGCACAGTCACTGTTTGTGGTCACAAACAACCTGCTGTCCAGGTTTCACTTGAACAGAAGGTGGAATGTTTCACCTCACAAAGAGCCTTGGCCCTCGCTTGAAGGGTAGAGCCAAGTGCCGAAGCCACAAGCAGCCCACAGGCATTCGGCACTCCCTGAGGCATCTCCCTCGTGTTACCTTGCCCTGGTGATCATGTTTCATTTCCCATCCCCGCGGCAGCTCTAGCTGTTTGTTGGCAAACATGTTGAGGAATCCCACAAGGTCCCGGTTATGCTGGTAGCGTTCAAAGTGGTGGGTGTCCCGCCGGACTTTGGTGATCATGTGCTTCAAACACGTGTTGTTTGTAAACATGCGGTAGGCACTCTAAAGAAAAGAATGGAGAACCCATGTTAACCCACTTGTGACACGCAGAAGCACCAAAAATACTACACATGGGTATGGCTACTCTTCCAATAAGTAACGAAATGCATATATAGGCTTCGACAGAATTCTAGACCCATGTATGGAAACAGCAGACAGAGCAAAATATCTTGAACAAAAGAAAACATAAAGACCACAGAAGGTAAGGCAGTCTCCACAGCTGGTGTCTAGGTCTCTTCTTTTAAATTTTTTTTTGTATTTGAAGTTCTGGGGTACATGTACAAGATGTGCAGGTTTGTTAAATAGGTAAATGTGTGCCATGGTGGTTTGCTGTACCTATCAACCCATCACCCAGGTATCAAGCCCAGCATGCATTAGCTATTTTTCCCTAATGCTCTCCCTCTCCCAACCCCACTCCCCAACAGGTCCCAGTGTGTGTGATGTTCCCCTCCCTGTGTCCATGTGTTCTCATTGTTTAGCTCCCACTTATAAGTGAGAACATGCAGTGTTTGGTTTTCTGTTCCTGCGTTAGTTTGCTGAGGATAATGGTTTCCAGTTCCATCCATGTTCCTGCAAAGGACATCATCTCATTCCTTTTCGTGGCTGCATAGCATTCCATGGTGCATGGTGTATACATACTACATTTTCTTTATCTAGTCTATCATTGATGGATATTTGGGTTGATTCCATGTCTTTGCTATTGTGAATGATGCTGCAATGAACATATATGTGCAGGTATCTTTGTAATAGAGTGATTTATATTTCTTTGGGTCAATACCCAGTAATGGGATTGCTAGGTCAAATGATATTTCTGGTTCTAAATCTTCAAGGAATTGCCACACTGTCTTCCACAATGGTTGAACTAATTTACTAAAGAACAAGCATGTTGTGGAGTCTCACTACACATGGGCCATTAAATCCTGAAGCTGGTTTTAGGAAAGAAACACACAGTCAAAATTACAGGACACTGGAGATGAATATGCCACCTTACAGAGAGCCCTGACATAGCCAGTTTCTCCCCCAGTATTGGACTAGGTTATTGGCTCTTTGAGTGAGTGCCAGATGACACAAGTAGTATATACTTTAGGGCCAAGTTGCATGGAAAAATGCTTGCCATATATTTCTATACTAGAAGGACATGAAATGGAATGAGCTGCTCTCACTGACCATCACACTCAACTGAGATCACAATAGACTGAGGTTTTAGAATCTTACCCTTCATAGAGGCATATAAGCTTGGTGAATGGAATAGCAGGCTGAGGTGCCTAGGCTGTACATCTCATTCTTTTTTCTTTTTCTCTCTTTTTCCCTGTGTATATTTGGTTGGATGTATATAAATGAAATGCAAGTTTAAAAAAACTCCACCACACCACCACACAGAAAAGTGATTGTTTTATCTAAAACCTTACAGTCTTCATTTCTATCTTTAAAGATGATTCCACAAACTGATTATAAGTCATGATCGTCCACATATGAGTCAGTCAATAAATATTTATTGCATAATACCATGCACAAAACAGCAGAAGAGGAATAACTGTATGGCAGCTGTTTCCTTGAATCATCAGAGGGAATATGATATTCACGAAACTGACCAGGCCGTGAATGATCTATCCTGGAACTGTATTCTTCTCAGATTGATTCACAGGGCTTTGGATTCCTTTTATCTTTAGTGTCTCAGGGACACTAGACTGAGTCTAGAGGTCTTCCAGCTTTATGTGTTCTGTTATCTATTGTAGTCTACATTGTATGGGTTCTGTTATCTATTTTAGTCTAAACTTTATGGGTTCTGTTATCTATTTTAGTCTACATTGTATGGGTTCTGTTATCTATGTTAGTCTAAACTTTATGGGTTCTGTTATCTATTTTAGTTTAAGACAGCCCAAGGCAAACTACAAGGACTCTAAAGTCTCCGGAAATGATTTCACTTTAATAAACATTTATTGTCTTTGCTGTGCCCAGTACTGTGGTCATTATTAGGGATCAAAAGAGGAATGAGTATGAAGACAGTCAACAGTACTCCAGTCTTTCTAGGATCCCTCAAGATGTGTCATGTCCAGGTCAAAGCATTTATTGCTGATGTGAGTCCCTCTAGAGCTTTCTTCCCTTTGACACAGCCATTGGCAATGTTTGAACAGGGATACTCCCCAGTCTGGCTCCCTGGGTCCCTGAGTGACCACAGGGACCCTCATAACCTGACTTGGAATGAGAAGTAATCCTTTGTTAGCTTAAGCCATGGAGATTTGTTAGTCGTTATTGCTGAAGTACAACTTAAACTATTCTGATTGATTCACCATCATTAAATACTTGTTCCCTATCAAAACAAATTAAAGGAAAGACGAAAGGAAGGGAGGAGAAACGGAAAAAGAAAGAAGACCATAATGAACCATCCTTGAACCTTAGTTCCTCAGTACACTTGAATATAAAGTACTTTGGAGTCATATTTCAACCGACAGTCTAAATGAGAGGAGGTTTTGATGGCTGTGAGCAGTTGTGTGGTTCAGAGCAGAGTACTGTCAATGCAGGCAGGCCTATGCAGGGGCTCTGGGCAATTAGAGAGCATGAGAGAACAGGAAAGTGATACCATGAAAGCAGAGAAGGAAATAACAGAAGTCGGGCAATGTCAGAAAAAAACCTAACTTCAGCTAAGTAATAGTTTTGCCTCTATTGGCTAACTGCTTTGAGTTTTAAATACAATCAGCAAGGCAACTGTTTTCTACATTTGGCTCAGTGTTGCTGATATATTTTCACATAAGTCATTGCAAGTTAGAGTCCTGAGACCACACTAGTTTGTGTAGGGATCATAGTGAGCTTTCAGGTCTAACTACTTAAGAGTAAAACAAATATTAAATCTCTTCAGGGACAAATTATTTGGGGGATAATTCTGTCAGATAAATCATTACATTAACCGTTGTTCTAAATAGGTATACCTTTTTGTCGCCTTCACTGCTCCCTCTTCTCACTAAAATAAGTAAATAGGCCACATTCTGATTTCTTATCTAGAGCACCAGAAATGCTCCTCACTTTGTTAGAAAAGAACTTCATTAGGGCAAGAAGTAGTGGCGATTAAGTTAAGAAACCCATCCCAACCTCAGGTTTGAAGTAATTCCCTGGGGCTGAATAGCTCTTTAAGCACAGAAATCTTAATGCTGGTCTTACAATTAATTATGCCCTTTCATCTTCCTCCTCTCCACTCAATGAAACATGTAATATGGTGCCAAACACATCTGATCTTTGCAAAGAGCGTCTACCAAAGTAATTCAAAGCAAGAAAGATTTCTCTCGGTAACTAGTAAACAACCTTTAGATCCACAGTCTTCTCAAGTCTGAATAGTAAGTACATGACTATTAGGGTCTACACAAAACACTTCAGCCAAACAGGAACATACTTCTAGACTGCTACGTTTCTTTAAAAAAAAAAACAAAACTATGTTTGAATAAGTGCATATATATGTTTATGCAAAAACTGCATGTGTATAGATATGTATATATAGTTTATGTGTGTGTGTGTATATATATAATTTATAGATCTACAGTTTGGGAAGGATATTTATACTCCATATAGAACTACAGTGCAGATTCTAGTCTCAGCTCTGTCACTCAGAGAGACAAAGAAAACTACTTAATCTCTGTCTCAATGTGCTTAACTGTAATATGGGATAATAATAACTCCCTTGCTTTCTCCATAGGCACGTGAGATTCAAATCCAGTTGGACAAACGATGGTAAAGTAATTTCAAAAGGTCAAAATCACTTTACGAATACAGGCTATAAATAAATAAAAATATATAGGGGATTATATCTATCATACCTGTGTTATAACAGACAAAGAGAGTGGCAAAATTGTTCACCACTTTTAGTCTTTAAAGATCTTGCGCCAGCTAAGCTTCATTAGTTATGTGCTAAGCCATGTGCTAAGCCCCATGCTAAACCCTGAGGATACAGAGATGAGCAAGGCCTGATCATTCAAAAGGATGAAGAGGGAGAATTATAGGGGAAGGTGGAAGGAAGAGATTTCACTGGAGGCAGAAAGAGTTGGAAAAACAGGCCCCGACAGTGGTGAAAATACTGAAACACACTGACAGAACGAGCAGAGGTAAGAATGGGAGCAGTCCAAAGAGCCAAAACCACTAAACAGATAGAATTAGGCTGACAAGAGTTTAGTCTTCATGGAAGCTGATATCAACAAAGCTGTGTGTTAAGAGAAAAGAGGCATCTTTATTCCCCCCGGGGTTTAGTGGTTCTAACTAGGTGAGGATCCTTTTCTATGTTTGTTTGTTTGCTTGCTTATCTTATAGAAAAAGATGCAGTAAATGAATCTGATATTTTACCTGAAACAAAAGTAGATTAGAGAAGAACCCATGATACCTATTTCATAACATAGTCTCACGATAATGAACAGAATTCACCTGGGAAGCTGTTGCACGTGGACTCGAGTAGTTAAGAAGAATTGGTAATTGTTAACAGTAGACAAAGCCCCTTTAAATGATCTCTAAAGGAAACAACACTTTGTTTTCCTTTGACATAATTTAAATATTCTTTTTAGTTATTCCTTCTCAATTCCAAAAATCCCTGTTCCAAACTCCCTCCTGGTTGTTTCTCATCTTCCTAGCAAGAAATAAACACTTCATGGTTGAGTGAATGATCAACTGAATTTCTTGAGTGGAGTTTTGTTAAATAACACTCCTTAGAGCTTAAATGTGTTTTTGTTTGGTTACGTGTTTGTTTGAGGTTGTAGAAGTAAATGTCATTGCCATTTGGCAGCAGAATAAGAAAATTATATGCAAATACTCAGTTCTTATCAACTACAATGCAAATAATAATCAATCCCCTCTCCTTTTTTTGCAGGTTTTCCTTAGTGTTATGATGACCAAATGTCCTAGATTACCTGGCCCAGTCCTAATTTCACCTAATTCTGTTCTCTTCGATAACATAGTTAAGTACATTACCAATATATAAAATCTTTCTTTCATATTTCAGAAAGCCTTCATCAAGAATAGGCATTCTG